AGAGGGCCCCCGGGGGGGAGGGGAGGGGGGGCCCCAGGGGGGCCCCCAGGAGGGCCCCCGGGGGCAGGGCGGGGGGCCCCTGGGGGGCGAGGGAAAAGGGTACTGGGAGGTGGGGGAGTTTGTTTCGAGGGTTTAGGGTTTGGGGTTTGGAGAGGCGGAGGGCGCGGAGAGGGTTTAAGTCGAAGTCGAGGGTTTGGGAATAAAAAGGTAATAAAGAAAAACGCGGAGATGCATGCAGGGGGCCCCCGGGGGCCCCCCGAGATGCATGCAGGGGGCCCCCGGGGGCCCCCGGGGCAGCAACAACAACCCCACCATCGAAGAGGAGGGGCCCCCCGTCGCAGCCGAGTTGGTTTGCGAACACGTAAACCCCCGGCCCCTGCTGCCAGCCCCCAAACCCTAATTTAGGGTTTGGCATTTCCTTTCCTTTTTCAAAATAAATGCTACTTCCATTTAATATTACTTCAGCCCCACTTCCAAAACTCACAGGGGGGCCCCCGGGGGCCCCCCACTCTCCCCAGCTCTCCACGCCCAGCACGGTGTCTGTACACCGCAGCAGCGCCACTCCTGCGCGCAAACCCCAAACCCCAAACCCTAAACCCTAAACCCTAAACCCTAAACCCTAAACCCTAAACCCTTAACAGGCCGCAGTGCACAATCCACAACCAACAACCAACCAAAGACAAACAACAATCAACTATCAACAAAAAGCAATAAACAATCAACCCTAAACCCTAAACCCTAAACCCTAAACCCTAAACCCTAAATAATAAACAATAGACAAAGAAAAATATATAAATAGACAAGTAAATAAATGGATAAATAGACAAAATATATGGATAAATAAACTAGGTAAACGAGTAAATAAATAAATAAATAAATAAAATAATAAATAAACAAATAAATAAACAGACAAATAAATAAATAGATAAATAAATAAATAAATAAATAAATAAATAAATAAATAAATAAATCAGAAAGAACAGAAACAACACAGAAAGGGACTTTTTAATTTTGCAACTTTTGGGATTTTTGGATTTTAAAAAAACGAAATAAATTCATTTAAACGCAAAATAAAAAAAATAATATTTTCAATTAAATAAATTACTTTTCTCGTTTTTATTTTCCAGAAAAAAGCTCCAATTGATTAAATTCATTAATTTAGTTAATGAATTTAATGAATTTAATGAATTTAATTAATTAAATGAATTAAATTAATTAATTAATTATTTTAATTAATTTTAATTTAATTAGTTTGATTTAATTTAATTTAGTTCAATTTAATTAATTTAATTTAATTTAATTTAATTTAATTTAATTATTTTAATTTGAAGATTACCGAAAGGCGCAGTTTGCTGCCCCGTGACTTTCACCACTGCTGGTGGAAGTGGCATTTCAAGAAGCCCGTTGCTGCAGCAGCAGCAGCTGCTGCTGCTGCTGCTGCTGCTGCTGCAGCAGCAGCAGCTGCTGCTGCTGCTGCAGCTAAAAGCACTGAAGTAGCGGCTTTCTCTGTAAGCCCCTTCGTCTACTAAATGCGTTTTGGGCCTCACCAGCAGCACCCGCTGGTTCAGCAGCAGCACGCGGCAGTTGTACTGGTTCTGCAGCAGCAGCAGCAGCAGCAGCAGCAGCACAGCAGCAGCAGCAGCAGCAGCAACAGCTGGGGCGCCGAGCGGCAAACAGCAGCGCCGCAGCAGCAGCAGCAACAGCTGCAGCCCCGCCGCCGCCCGCCCCCCAAAACAGCAGCAGCAGCAGCAGCAGCACCGCCACCGCGCCCCACCCCACAGCAGCAGCAGCAGCAGCAGCAGCAGCAGCAGCAGCAGCAGCAGCAGCAGCAGCAGCAG